GGGAAAGAGAAAAGCTTCCAGTGTCAAAAAGAAAGAAAAAGAAAAAGAAAGAAAGAAAGAAAAAGAAAAAAGAAGAAAGGATGGATGTTTTGAAACAAAGGCAGAAGCAATCTTATACTTCGTTGAAAGCTTACCTGGGAGTGGTTTTAACTCCCCTGGGGTTAAGAAAGATTTTTTTTTTTTTTTTTTTTTTTTTCCTCTCAAGACCGAAGGTGGAGCTAGGGTAAAGGAATTGAATCTGAAATAGCATCCCTGTCAGTTCTGTTCTGTCCTGAAAAGTACACAGGGAAGAAAAATCTCCGTGGAAGAGAGAGGAGGCTACAGGTGCAGAGGGCAAGGGACCTTCTATGATACAACGTGTATGTAAGTTACATTGTAAACAGGAACGTAGAAACCCTTAATTGCCTCCTTTTTCTAAGGAAAACCATCTGACTTAAACAGAAAGCCTCTAAGACGGCTAGACAGATACCTGAGTTCTATTTTGCCTTTTTACGTTACAGATTATTTTGTTTTCTAAATGCTCTCAGGCCAGAAGAGTCTACAAGATGAAGACAAAATTTTTTTATTTTTATTTTTTTTTAATGTCGGGTCAGAAGAGGTAGTGAGGACTCATTTGGGATAATCATAGTGTTTACTGAAGCCTTATGCATGTATAAAAATGTTATTTTCTCTAATCGCATATTTTGTTCCTGTAATGACTGAGTTGAATTCTAAACTGAACTGAGTAATCAATACTTAATGCCTCTGTCGCGCAAATCAAGTCTTAGCTGTTTCAGATGGCATCAGATTGCTTCCAATGGGGCACATTGCTCTAGAGATGGAAATTAAAAGCAAGTGTGTGTCGAATTTTCTGTTTTTCAGGTTTGCAGTGAAAACTCACAGATAGCAGCACCCCTAGAACAGTCGCCGCCCAGAAGTCACCCGGATGCCCACAGGGCGTTAGAAAGCATGAGCTATTACGGCAGCAGCTACCCGATCGTGAACGTGGACCCCAAATACCCAGGCTACCCCCAGGAGCACGTTCTAGCCGAGAAGCGAAGAGCGAGGAGGCGCCTCCTCCATAAAGACGGCAGCTGTAATGTGTATTTCAAGCACATTTTTGGAGAATGGGGCAGCTACGTGGTGGACATCTTCACCACCCTCGTAGACACCAAGTGGCGCCATATGTTTGTGATATTCTCGTTATCTTACATTCTCTCCTGGTTGATATTTGGCTCTATCTTTTGGCTGATAGCCTTTCATCACGGAGACCTGTTGAACGATCCCGACATCACGCCTTGTGTGGACAACGTCCATTCCTTCACGGGGGCGTTTTTATTCTCCCTGGAGACCCAGACCACCATCGGGTACGGTTCCCGCTGTGTCACCGAGGAATGTTCTGCGGCCGTGCTCACGGTGATCCTTCAGTCCATCTTAAGCAGCATTATAAATACCTTCATCATTGGGGCTGCCTTGGCCAAAATGGCAACCGCCAGGAAGAGAGCCCAGACCATTCGGTTCAGCTACTTTGCCCTCATCGGCATGAGAGATGGGAAACTTTGCCTCATGTGGCGCATCGGTGAATTCCGCCCCAACCACGTGGTAGAAGGCACGGTCAGGGCCCAGCTTCTCCGCTACACAGAAGACAGCGACGGCCGGATGACGATGGCATTTAAGGACCTCAAGTTAGTCAATGACCAGATCATCCTTGTCACGCCAGTAACGATCGTTCATGAAATCGACCATGAGAGCCCTCTGTATGCCCTTGACCGAAAAGCCGTGGCCAAAGATAACTTCGAGATTTTGGTGACATTTATCTATACTGGCGACTCCACCGGGACTTCTCACCAATCCAGGAGTTCCTACGTTCCCCGAGAAATTCTCTGGGGCCATAGGTTTAACGATGTCTTGGAAGTGAAGAGAAAGTATTACAAAGTGAACTGCTTACAGTTCGAGGGAAGCGTGGAAGTCTATGCTCCCTTTTGCAGCGCCAAGCAACTGGACTGGAAGGACCAGCAGATCCACAACATGGGAAAAGGCCCCCCAGCCCAAGGACCCGGCGCATCAGACACCAATGTCAGAAGAAGATCATTTAGCGCTGTTGCCATCGTCAGCAGCTGTGAAAACCCAGAGGAGGCCACCACCTCTGCCGGGGATCAGTGTAAGGAAGCACCTTATCAGAAAGCTCTCCTGACTTTGAATAGAATCTCTGTAGAATCGCAAATGTAGTCCTGAGTTGTAAGTACGAGGGCTCCCGGTCAATCGTTTTTTTTTACCCCCTAGCCAATCGCCTTAAGGCAAGTAGTTAAAAACAGAGCTTTTAAAGAAGGTGATAGCTTGTCTTTGACGGTGAAGGAAGATAAATAGAGCAGGTTAAACTTGATAAAAGATATCTAAACATTACATCGTATCCAGCTGTTTAACTTTTTTTTTTTTTTGGCTAGCAAATTTTGTGTTAGGGGTGCTATTAAGAGGCCTAATTGATTAATTAAAATGTCATCTCCTTTTGTTATTCCATATACTTGTATTGTCAGTTGGAGGTATAATATTCAGTAATGGGGAACAAAGGTAGGACACTGGGATAATAGAAAGTAGAAGGGAGAATAGCATGAATAATAAAAATTTTAAATGGATCCAAATCGGTAGTATAGTTACCTATAAAGACATTATATCGTATAACCAAGCAGTGCAAGGAATGCGTTCGGTAGGTTGTAACGTTGAGCTGTTTAACTGTGAAATCAGTCCCTGTGTTTGCCCCGCAGAGTGTCTCGGTATCAGCTGGCAGAGGCAGTGGCCGTAGGAAGTAACAATGCCACCGGTTCTGACAGTGAATCCCCTGCCACTTGCCAGGTAATGATCAAGCAGTGGGCTAGAAGCTACTTTTTCTCTCATCCGTGAGGCAGAAGAAAAGTTGGCGTTATTACTCAGAGAGGCATTTCTCTCTTAAATGCTCTGTTTGACTCCAACAAATGGCTCTGTGTGGAGGGGCAGAAATAAGGCAAACAGGAGCTTCGTAAGGTGTGTGACAAGGGGACTGCTCATGCCCACCTCCCCACACCTTCTTTGAGGAAGGACCAGAAGAGTTGGGGACCCTAGAGTTGGGGTGAGGGAGTGGAGAGCCACAAACATCCTCAGACTCTTTGCGAGAAAATGTGTTCCTGGGTCCTGGAAGACTGGAGATCTGGCCACACAAGGGGTGGAACCCTGGTTGGTTTTTTTTTTGTTTTTTTGTTTTGGCAGTTGCGGTGGGGTTAGGAGGTGGGGAGGCTGTGAGGGGAAAAGTATTTATTTGTGCCTAGAAGCAATTATGTATGTTTCCCGGTCTCGGTCACTTTAGAAAACACAAATAACTTGAATTGTGAATCTTAAGAAACGCTTCCATTGAACTTGGAACAATCATCTAAATGCAGGATTTTGTGAATGTAATTAAGGTGATTTTAATGCACATTATGAAGTGGGTCAGCTGAGTGCTTTAGAATTGCTTAAATTGTAGGGCAGGAGAGAAATGTGTATACTCTATTTCCACCTTAAAGGATGTTAATCATGATTACCTTAAACACAAATCCAATCACCTGCGAGTGAAATCACTCTAAGCTTTATCAGTTGAAGACTTACCAGCTGTATTCCGAATGATCTGTGTTATTCTTTACATTCTTGCTGAGCTGCTGATAAGTATATGCCACAGGTTTTCACGTGTTTATTTTATTTAAATATATATACACACACACACACACACACACACACACACACACACACGTAGTTTTTGCTTTTTTCTGGAAAATCCCTCTCTTTCTCTCTCTCCCCATTTAACTTAAAGCACACAAGTAAATTTTACTGAATCGCCGAGTCCAAGATTACCAACAGAAGTAAAATGTACAGGCATATAAAGTTTTTCTTTTCTTTTCCTTCTTTTTTCTCCTTTTTCCTTTTTCCCTCCCTGCTTTCCTTCTTTCCTCTTCCTCCTCCTTTCTTTTGCCTGTGAGCAATAAAGTTATTTTACGATGCACAAGTGCAAAGCTTGTATTCCTGTTGTCGTATGGGTAAGAGATCTCTTCAGGTCACAGGTTGCAAAATCATCCTGAAACTTAACATCAGAGTGCTAAATAATGCATTTCTTTCTTCCAGTCTTGTTTCAGGAATGCAAAACCCATGTTTTTAAAATTGCACATGCCCTGTAGATTTGGATTTTGGAGCAGCAATTACTCAGCTAAATTAGAATATTACAATCTACCAAGTAGAAAACAGCCAACACTACAACAAACAAACTTGCCCCCTTTCCCCCTTTTGTGGCATGTCTCACACCCATCTAGTTTCATTCACTTTCCTTCCTGGACTCTGCTTGTTCACAATCTTGCTTTGTTAGTATCAGGATAGAGGTGTCAACGTCCAGTAAATACACTCTGTCGGGCTACGTGCCTCTTCCATCAAATTCTCTTACCCAGAATAGAATGTACAATCAGCAACCCCATTTGTCTCCCATCTTCTGTTTAGATTGATAACACACTTTGACACCCCCAGTGAGTTACTTAATAATAAAGATCTTAAAATTGTGCAAAAAGTGTGTGCCTATGCTAGTGGAAATTCTGTGGCTGTGGTCAGCAGTGGGGACAGGGCACCCAAACTGAGATTGCTGTTTCATAGAGTTAGGATGTGGGCAGAATTAGAAACCATTTTTTATTCGTTTCTAAGAGCTTGCAGAACAGCTCTATTCAAACGAACAATTAAGTGCTCCTGTAAGCATTGCTAGAAACCTCCCTGCAAAATTGCATTTCTAGTTGGAAGTGCTCTGTCAATGATGAGACTATTTTTTCTTCTGGCATTCATCTCCCCCTAAAAAAGACATTATTCAGTAGACCCAATTAGAAAATAAATCGTGGCATCAAGGCACTGCTCCACTGTGTTTTATAGCCTGGGAGGAGGGAACACAGGAAGAGAGAAGGAAATGCTGTTTCCATGGAGTACCCTTAGGTGCTTTGCACAGATACACTTAATCCCCCCACAGAAAACAAAGGGGTGGATATTTTTAGCTTCCACGTCATCAAATATCTCATTCTTCACTTTATCCTGACTGACACATTCCCAACTGGGATAATAAAGTGCCCAGGTTACAAAAAAAAAAAATTCCAACTGTGTTTCCCAGTCTCTCTTGCAGCCGAGGGTGGAGTGGAGGGTAAGCGCTTCTGTGACATAGTTCTGGCCCGCGAGATGCCAGCACAACTCTCTGGATGTGACTTCTAAGAAGGCTCTTTGCGGCTGACTTAGCGATCAAAGGCCCTCTTACCTTCATGCATTCGTCCTCTTCCTCACCTGGGCCTCCAACTTGGTGGCTGACGCTCCTGAAGCCCTTCTCTTGAGAGTGAGAATCAGGGATGCTCCTGACAAGGGAAACTGGACAAGTAAGAAAGAGCGCAGGGCTTCCCTGGTGGCGCCGTGGTTGAGAGTCCGCCTGCCGATGCAGGGGACACGGGTCCGTGCCCCGGTCCGGGAGGATCCCACGTGCCGCGGAGC